TAACACAATAGTAAAGTGTGGTGTTTTACATTTACCTACAAACATTACAGAGTTTTAGTCACAGCATTTGATGGCATTAAAGTATATTCAAAACGTTTCTTTCTCTGACTTAGGTATGGGTTGTGTTTCACCCTGTTTTCCTGTAGGGAAGTTCCACCTTACTTGTGCTTAGTTTCGTCACAGGATTTGGATAATGCTGCTAGTTACCTGTCATATCGAAAGTTCTTATGGCTTTTTAAATGCAACTGATTGCATTTTAGTGCTGTATTCTCTCAGAATTGTACCATTTGATCTTTCTAATTGAAATATGAGCTCATGAAAAGGTTACAAACATGTAAGTCATCTAGTATAGACATTTGCATGTGTGTACAGACGACTGGAGGACACGTGATCAGAGGCCATTTTGATCACAGTCCTCTTTCCATTCTAATTGTGATCACTGCTCTGTCCATTGGACATTAGTTTTCTGACACCTAGAAAAATAAAAGTTTTGCCTGATAACTTATCTATACAGCTCACATTGGATGCAGTCTTGCTTCTTTTCTCTTAAATTTTACATGTAGTGCTGTTGAACGTGGCTTTGTCACTGCTGCAGAGTGAATCACTGAATGGCAGCCTATTTGTTTGCTGTTGGGTCTTAGCGTCAGTTTTGGCTGTTTGGAAATGCTGTTTTGCATGTTATAGAGTAGAGGATATTGATCTTTGGGGAACATACGTATTTCTCGTGGTGCACTCTGAATAGAAAGTTAAACCTTAAATTTTAAAAGGTATTTATTTATTGCTAACTTCCTGCTGGGGGTACCAGTTCTCATTCTGCTACTGTTGGGTGATAAGTCTCATATTTGGGTTATAAGCATTTTCTATTTTTGTGAATTCTGAGTATTCTGTCGTTTAGTTTTTGTTTTTTTGGTTATTGGTTTGTAAGGTTCATCTTAGTTTTGTTCACCTTACTTTTGTTTGGTTATTGGTTAGGGTTCAATCATTCTGGTTTTTGTACTTAGGTCATGTGTGCTCTAAAATTTCTGTTTTGTGGCAGCCCTGGCTGGCCTGAAACTGGCTCTTAGACCCAGGCTGACTTTGAACTCACATAGATTCTCTCCCCCTCTGCATCCTGAGTGCTGGGACTAGAGGCGTGCGTTATCACGCCTTGCTAAGATCTTAATTTTTCCCAAGTTTAATATGTCCAGGTCAAAGTCTATCTTAAACAATATTGTGTCATTAATGGGATATTTCTGCTTAATTTGTATAGGTTCTGTTTTCCAATTTGGCAGCAGCACTACAAATTTCAACTTCACAAACAATAATCCATCAGGAGTGTTCACATTTGGTGCAAATACCAGCACGCCTGCAGCCTCAGCCCAGCCCTCAGGTTCAGGAGGCTTCCCATTCAGCCAGTCTCCAGCGTCATTTACATTGGGGTAAGAGATGATTTTATTTCATTGAGAATTTACACTGGTAAAGATGTATCTGTCTGTGTCTAAAAGTAAATCAGGCAGTAATATAGTTAAGATAATAGTAAATACTACCCAGTATCAGTTTGTGATATTGTAATTTGGGGGATTAAATTATAATCTGAAACAGGAGCAAGCAGCAAGTATAGACCAGATATAGCAGAAGGTGTTTGCTTGTAACAACAGCATTTCCTCACTTCTCCCCATTTTGTTGCTAGTCATGTTAAGTGGTTATGAGTTCTTTGTCCTGAGCGTCATGTAACATCATAATGTTTTATTTTCACAGGTCAAATGGGAAGAATATGTTCTCTTCTTCCGGAACTTCAGTTTCTGGTCGCAAGATAAAGACTGCTGTTAGACGCAAGAAATAAAGGTCACAAAGGTGTTATACCCAACTGTTTATCAGCAGCGAGTGCCTGCTTTCAGATACTGGATTGTACTACATGCTGGGCTTATCGGAAGTCAGATCTGTCCAAGGACTTCTTTAATTTTGGAATTGCCCTCATTTTTTCTTTACGGAAGTCCCATTCCCTATCTCATTCTCTTTTGAAAATAATAGCTAGACTGATGACTGACTGATTCTTCAGCAAAAACATTTTATGACCCAGCACATTATTCACTGATTGGCATAGTCTGGCTGTACCCAGGAATAGAGCCTGCACGGTGAATGGCTTTGTATAGATCCTGTCTGCACCGCTATGTGCGTTGATAAAGCGTTACTGGAACGCATTGAAATTGTAATTATATCTGGGGAATTCTGTATAGATTAGAATCCTGTATAGATTAGAGGACTTTGAAATGAATGATTTCTATGCGGAGTTTGTGGTGGTGTATGTGTGAAGTGAGTTGGATGTATTGTGCACAGAAAAATTCTGATAGAGAAAGCCTGATTAAAGAATGGTCCATGCTAAGGACTTGTTAGATCTAGTTCATTCTCCATTTAATAAGTATATGCTATTTCTATATTTTCATTCTATTGACTGTCTTGCCTTTTTCATTATTTTATTATGAAACTTCTGTAAATACAATATCGTTTCTGTACTTTTTTGGCATAACATAAATCTGTGAACTTGAAATTTTAATTTTGTGTTAGACATATTTTTGTTGTTTGTTTAGTCTTGTCTCAGATTTTATTATGTAAATCCCATTATTCAAAGTTGCCTAAATCCATTTGGAAACCTTTAAAAAAAAATTGGGGATTCTTAAAGTTGAATTTATTGGCTTTTCTGATCCAGTTTTGTTTGGACCAAAAACCAGTATTGTACAAAGTATTAAGCATATATTTTTATATTTACTGAAATGGACTGTGGTGACTTTGGATAATAAGGAAAAGTTTAATATTAAAGCCATGTTTATTACAGTATAATTAACATGTTAAACCATGGGATAAATGCCATCAATAAAACTTTATGAAGCACGTTTCGCTAACAGTTCTCATAGTGGAGGCACATAGTATTAGTGGGAAGGGTGGTTGATTAGAAATCCCAAAGAGTATAATCAGGCAAGGCTCAGAAGTTACCAGAGTTTGCAGTATACAGAAGAGCCCCTGCATTCTGCCTGCTGCTATCTTTAATTTGTATGTATAGCACGCCTTTAAAAGTTGAAGGTAAGCATACAACCCTTTCTGTTTGTATTGCTAGCTTCCCTGCTAGATACCTAAACAATGTTCATTGCTTGTACTCTTGGAGATATATGTCTCAGGCATTCTGAAAGTTTATAACATTGTAATGGGCCTTTTAACTGCATTGCTTGAATGACTATACTTTTTGTTACTTAAGGTCCAGGAAAGAACTCTTAGGCCAGCACATCTTACTTTTGTCTTTAGTGTAATTAGGATTGTTATTATTGTGTTTAATTTGCCCCACTTCAGGTTAGTTGAGTTTAATTTATATTGAGAATTTCTAATGCTTTGTCCTCATGAAAAAAGTGTTTTCCTAACTAAGATAGCTTAGGCCATCATCACATATTGATTTGAGGCTAGAATTTTGTTTTCTAATATTCTCCTTAATATGTATCTGATATTTAAGCTTGATTGGAGTCTGGTGAATGCTGGAAGAGATAACTGGGAACCTGTCTGACCTCACAGTGACCTTGGAGTCCAGTTCTTAGCCATTATCTAGGTCCAGACAATTGTGGTTTAATAGGGCATACCCCTTTTCTCTAAAATGTGTAGGAAATAGTTTTACTTTTAGTATCTCCCCCCCTTACACACACTTTAAAAAGCAGTTTTACTAAAGTCCTACTAAGTTTATATGAAAATTGGGGATCTTTGGGTTCTCCAGAGTCTGCAAGACTGTTAAGGTCTTGAGACTCGATTCTTGGGCTGCATGTAGCTTTCCAATCTTTGTGGCAGCTCCATCTCTGGAGCTGTACTCCTGGTAAACTCTTCATTGGATTAGCTGGGAGTGAGAGTGCTTATTATTGGTGGGATGTGTAAATGTACGTTTTAGGGGATATTCCCAGAGACTGACAGACTGGCTTTGGATAACAGTACTTTTCTAACTCTGTCAGGTCTGGGGATATCATTTTAAGCATTTAAGTGCTAGGTTGTGTGATTGTAATTTCAGGCCTTAAGGAAAAAAGTATAATTCAGACAACTAAATTCCTTTTTTATAAATAATGAAAGAATTTATTAATATAGCTAGCATTTTATTACTTAAAGTTAACTTGGGAACAACTTGTTTTTATTGTTAGCATATCCTTCTTGGGACTTGTATGAAGCTTAAAATTCAATGGAAATCATTGAGGGGGTAAATGAACAGATACTATACTTGATATACTCCAAAGACCAAGAATGATTCAACAGAATTCTAGAAAGGGTAGCATTTTTAATGGAAACTGTTTGCTATAACATTGAAAAATGAGGATGGTGAAGACCTTATAGATAGCGACTGTATTTATAATATAGAACTTTATCATTCCCCCTCCCCTCCAGAATCCACTGTAGTCCCCAAATGCAGTTCGTAGATCGGCTTAGAACAGTCAATTGTCTGGAGCAATACTTTTGACCAGGCTGCACACATTACCACCGCCCCCCCCCCCTTTGGGGGGTGTTGAGACAGGGTTTCTCTGTAGCTTCGAAATCTATCCTGGAACTAGCTCGTAGACCAGGTCGGCCTTGAACTCACAGAGATCCATCTGCCTCCCAAGTGCTGGGATTAAAGGCTTGCACCACCACTGCACAGCCATGCCCTTTAACTTCTAAAGATAGGGTCTTACACTGTAGCCCAGGGTGGCCTTAAATTTGCACCAGCATTCCTGTGTCAACCTCCTGAGTTGTGGGTTTACAGTTAACATGTCCAAAATCAAGTAAATGTCTTTTTTGAGGAAGGCAGCCCATAAGGACTGGTTTGTAAAGGCTTTTCCCATTAAGACAGTTTAAATTTAGTCAACTGATTGTTGTAATGGCTAAGTTTAACTGACACAGCATTCATGTGCAGGTAATTTTTTAAACACTTTTTTCAACAAGTGTTAGCTCCCTGAAGCACAGCTCCAGCCCTATTAGTTTAATTAGGAAAACTTGTCAAAGAAATAGGCAAACACAGATAACACTGTTGACATATTTATTGAGACAAAAATACAAATTGGTGACATACAAATATTAAAAATAGAATGGTGAGTTTTGTTTATAGGTGAGTCATTAGATACTGTTTGCAAGGGAAGCCTTTCTAAAGTGAACCACAAGGAAATCTGCACATACCAGCTGAAATGAGGAACTTCACCCAGGCATGAGTAAGGACTTTGGCCTTTGGTTATGTGAGTAAAGAAGCTGAAACAGTACTTGTTGGAGTTTATGAATACTGTTAATTTAGGCATTGTCCTCAAACAATGAAAACTTTAATTGTCCCACCCTCCAAATAGCAAATATAAAATTTCAACTCTTTCCCTTTGCCAGAAACAGTTGTGTAAGTGAAACACTAAAATCACTGATGTGAACAAGTTCTTTTAAAGTTAAAACTTTTAGGATCTCCTTGGAGAAGTAGGGAGAATTAAGCCAGTGCTAGAAAAGGAGTTGGGCAATGCTTTAGACTACTGTCAAGTGACATGTGTTTATGGCCATAGTCATCACACTGTTTCCTACCTAGAAGATGGAACAAGATCTTGCCAGTGATGGCTTAGACTTTCTCACTGCCTAAAATAAAATCTCTTCCCTGTTGTCTGGATTGAATGGTAATGCATCAACAAGACTCCAATCCTAAGGTTTCAACTTTTACATCTTTATTTCTGCCCTTTTACACTTTACAACCCTATGAAGAACAAATATGCCAGGTTCCCCTTTTCTCCTTTTTATTTCAACTCTTGAGATTTCTTCCCCAAAGGGAACTTAGTTTGAGGTTTTATTGTAGAGGCAAAGCAATACTTTTATCTTACCACCTGTATGGCACAACTTGAATCCACAGCTGGATCTAAACTTGCCCAGAGCAAATTGCAGTATTTAAACTAAGAAATTGGACTACTACTTGTTTATTTTACTGCACAAATAAAAATATTCTCAGTGAAAACTACAATAATCTAGAGCTGGGTGGATGAAGCACATTTCATCTTGAATTCCCTCATCAGTGGCAAAAGTAGTGTCCATACCAATTTCCTGATCTGTAGTGTAAGAGTTTGAAGAGCCATCAGGTCTTGCCAGAGCCACAAGCAAGTCCTCTCTATGTGCTGCTCTTAACAAGTAATAGGTTTTCTGGATTTAATGTAAAATTATCTTTAGAAATCATGGTTTATGAACTTTTACAATAAGCTATTAGATTCTTAAAGTGTCTGTAGACAGTAGATGCATTTTCAGTTTTAAATGTCAAAGAAAAGCCCACTGAAAGTTGATACAATAATATAAGACATGGCTTATTCTTGCTATTTAAAACCAAGGAACAAAGATTGACCTCTTATACAATACAATTTAGTGTTTCTTGAGATCACATAGAAGAATGAGTAAGAATAAAGTTTAAACTACAAACAGTGTGGGCACATTTCGGTACAGCTAGCTAACTGGGACACAACAAAAGCACACAGACATAAACCTGATACTGTTAGACCAACACAACAAAGTACAATGACTATACACAAAAGTTTGCTTTAATATTTTTCCCCAAATTTCATCTCTAGCAGGCTCAAAATGAGCTTAAAGATGCTAGAATAATGTCCAGAGATGATATTCTATCTTGCATTAGAGAGAACAATTTATGGGAAAACTAATATTTCACAGGCTGCTAGTATTTAGAGTTATTACAAAATACTGGAACTCTTTTAATACCTTGATGTTTTGACAGTCATGGAACTGTACAGAATATAGTTAGGAATTTGCTTGTACAGAAATAGAATCTACAGGTACATTTAGAACACTGGAGCACAAACACTGGGAATGTTTGATGAATGTTTCCCCCTCCCCCCTATTTATAGTTGGATGTTAGGGCACATGAATTCTAAGCTGAATTTACATTGAAAAATCACATCCCTATCCCCGCTCTACCCTCACAGAAGGCAATCACTAACTTACCTTTTTTTTTAAATATCAATCAATGATATGACAATATATTTTCATTATCATAAAAGTTCTTGCCTCCAAATACATAAGCAGTAAGAAGCTGTAAAATCCCACCACTACTGCAGTGAATTCTAGAACATCATGGAAGCATGACGTGAGAGACTGGTAGGGCTTCCTCACTAGCCCTTTTCTCCAATACCTGCCATGGAACCAGTGGGATGTTGAGTTGATGGTCTTTCTCAATGCCCACACAAAGCAACTTCCCAAAGAAGAGTTGTGGGAGTTATGTAGGTGTTTATAAAACACAACTGGACATTTTCACTCCAGGATAAGCCAAAAGAAAATGGAGAATTTAAAGCTGAAAATCCTTCCAGCAAATTTTGGTTATCTTAAATGTTAAAGTATGTATTTGTCTATATTGATTAAAACCATTTGCTTTGTTACCCTACAAATATTTAACACTTGAATTTAATAGGTTTTCCTTCTGGAAAGTTCCTGGACATTTAAGTAGAGTCAACACTTTCAGAACAGTCTCTTGCATCACACTGTAGTGACTGCTCTAAGTTTTAAAATCATCAATTAATGTAACCTAGAGATACTGATGGCCTTAATACATAATTTAGACTTGTCATTATTATTCCAAAGAGTGGAATTCTGGGCTCTGGGGCATCATCTGACTCCATTTCTTTTTACCACAATGGTTCCTGCTACAATGTCATAGGCTGTTCGATTATGCTGAAAAAACAGTAGTGTGATGAAAGCAGGGAAAAAAGAAGCAATAGAAAAATTCTTGATCAAAGCTCGTATGGTGGACCTAAAGGAAGCAAGCAGAAGTGGCATGTCAGGCCGTATGAGTCATTCCTGACTAGGTTTCTTGTTGCTGTCTCTATATTCAGAGCACAGTTCAAACTTTTCACACAATACAGTGAAACTATTTACTCCTAAAGAAAGCTTCCAAGAAGACTAAAACTTTGACGTGCATGGCTTTAAATACGTTGGGACACCAACAAGGAGACAGCACACAGTACTTTCTATTTTGTTAGAAGAACATTCCTTTGCTTACCTTTTCCATAGTCACATATTCCCATGGGTTTCTAGAATCTTCTAAACTGGGTATGCTACTGCAGTCCTACTTTCTATTTTATCTGAAACACAATCTATTCTTTTATCCATTCTCCTGTCTGGGCCCTAGTAATTACTGGAGAAGTCTTAAAAGCTTTCAGTAATAGCTCAACATGGAGAATTATCCTAACAATGTTAGTTTTGCCTGTCAGTGGCTAAATGTGTAGACTCTGAATCCAAACTGGTTGGTTTCACATTCTTTTTCTAGTGCTCCACAGCTGTGAAAATGAGATCAAAATGCTGTGTTAAATTACTAAAATGCCCGGTATCTGAGAAGTGTTCATTAAAAGAAGTAGCCAGAGCTGGGCAATAAATCTAGCCTGATTCTGGAGCTTGTTGTCTTACTTCCCCTGAATCAGCCAAATTGTTTGATTCAAGTGATCACAGCTCACTCGCCTCCCCAGCTTCCATCACCACTGCACCCTCACTACAGGCATTAGCATTATGGGCACTACATAGAAGAGCTGGAGTCAAGAGAGGGTTGTGGTGGGTAGTTCACAGAGCTAGAGAATAAAGCTAGGCACAGAGCGCTGAAAACACCCAAATATCTTCTCACTGCGACACATTTCATAGAATCATTTTGAACATGTATGCCAAAGGCAATGAAACATACACACAAATTTCCATGTATGTCCGTATGATTACAATATATACGATGAAGACCAATATTTTAAAACACTGTATAGAACCTGTAACTAGAACATTGTTTTGAACACAATCCTGTGCCACTTAACAAACTCATAATGAGGAATGTATGAATGATCCTGAGAATGCAAAAATCAGTGCATTTTCAGAAGCTCAAGACACCTTGAAATTGGCACGTAGTAGAATCTTAATCACTTTTGAATATGTCATGTACAGTTGACATCATTATACAGTAGAAGATGACTTAACTATACTCTTTTTGCAAGTAGATTAAGATAAGCAAAGAACTTACGTTGTGATGCTAACATTTGAGGAAGGAATCACTAAAACCCGACTTGGAGCAATGAGTACTGATGTATCACAGGTCACAACTCGAAGCCCTAGCAGGAACTTTCCTGGAGTAGCTCCCCCTGCTCCCCATATGCAAATTATCTAAGGAAAGAAGGACAATTTAAAGAAAATTAACTAAATCAATTTTAAAGATTAAAATTTTTTCTATTAAAATTATCTCATTCTTTATAGAAATGTCATGTTGGAGGGCCAGGTATGGTGGCACACATCTTTAGTCTCAGCACTTGGGAGGTAGAGGCAGGTAGGATCTCTCTGTGTTCAAAATCAGCCTGGTATGCACAGTGAGTTCAAGTCACAGAGGGCTACAGGGTGAGACCCTGTCTCAAAAAGAAAGTTACACTGGATGTGCCAATTAGATAGAATACTAGAAGCCCACTAACCTCTTAAACTGGCTGGTAGCACACACTTGCCATCCCAGAACTCCAGGGGTTGGGAAAGATGACTGGCAAGTTTGGGATTAAGCCAGGCTACATAATGAGGCCCTGTCTTGGCATACAAAACACTAAATAAAGGTTTGGCCTGATGGCACAAGGCCTGTCATCCCAATTATTGGGTAGGCTGTGATTCAAGAAGTCCCAACTGCATTCAAGATCTGCCCTTGAACTCTGAGACGTTTCTAAAAAAGAAAAAGAGGCTTGGATATAGCTCAATGGACTGTGGTTCTGGGTTTGATCTCCAATACCCACCCCCTCTCCAATTAATCACTAATGCATTTTTTTTTTACAGTTTTTAAAAATATGTTCAATATCAAAATTATCTACTGTATTTTTTGGCTCATATTTTATGAAGTTGTTTCACAAGTAAAAAATATATTTCTATAACCAGTCTGTAAGTATATTTTTGGACCTAACCTATTTATGAATGTAATTCTATTTCCAAAACTGAAAAACACAACAATTATTAAATGTCTCCTTTCTAAAATAAGTTTTTACTTGAAAATGTTAATTTAAAAAAATTTTGAAAAAATGCAAGTGTGTACAGATGCTTCAGAAATTCTCATTCTTTTTCTTTGTAGAAACCTAAAATTACACATTGAAGCATTATTTGCTTCAGTTGGCAGCTTACCTCATAGAAACAAACTAACAACCTGTATATAAGTGCCACAATCATCATTTTCTGCAAGTCTTCCATTGATGTGTCTTCATCGATTTCTTCTATTATATAGTGCATGGCAAACTTAGAGATGTCCCTGCACAAAGGAGAGTTTGGGGATAGATGAACTAGTTACCAGGTCAGTTGTGCCATTTTCCCTGATCAGTCTAAGTCATAAGTTTTAAATGAAATTCTAAGCTGTTAGGTTCATATGAGTTTATTCAACAAATAGCAATAAGAATATAAAAGCAAAAGGTGTGGTTGTAAGTCAGCGGTAGAACACCATAGAACAAGTAAGATGCCAGACCTGAGGACATGATGGTCAATGGTTTCGTCAACCTGAAATAAGATAGGGTCACCGGGGAAGAGGAAATCAATTGAGAAATGCCTCCATCAAGTCTGTGAGGTATTTTCTTGATTAATGATTGATGTGGGAAGGGCCTGGCACACTGGGGGTGGTACCACCCCTAGGCAGGTGGTCCTGAGTGCTCTAAGAAAGTAGGCTGAACAAAGCAGTAGACAGCATTCCTCTATGGCTTCTTCTTTAGTTCCAGTCTTGATTTCCTGCCCTGACTTCCCTCGGTGGGACTACAAGCTGTAAGATGATATAAACCCTTTCTTCCAAATTTGTTTTTGATCATGGTGTTTATCACTGCAACAGAAGGCAGACTAGGACAGCAAGGGAATGCTGAATGTCTCAGTTTTCACTGAGATTCTAACTAGCAAGGAAAACAGAATAATAAAGAATGATAAACTGAGATGCTGACTGTGTCAGGAAACGAGCACCACAGAAGACTGTTGTGCAGACCTCTCAGAAATGACATTTCCTACAACATAAAGAATGGAGAGAAGTCAGCCAGCCCAAGAGGACAGATGACGCTCTAGAGAAAGACTGGCAGGAGAGAAAGCCTTGGAGCAAGTGATAGAGCTTCAATTTCTGTGTGGAGATTGTTAAAACCGTGTGATGAAATCAGTCAAAAGAAACTATAGCTGAGTAGAGAGGTCAAGTTCTCCAAATCGTCTTCTGACTTCCAAATAAAAATGTAAAATAAAGGCTGTGTTGGGGGTGAGAGGATGGGATAGGAAGGAATCACAGTAACACCTGACAAGGACTCTAAGGTTTAACAACTGTAACTGTTAAACCTTTTCTTTTCTCCCAATTCTAGCCTTAACTTGTCATAAACACAGTGTCTACCTCATGGTGGTACTAAGGTTAACAAAAAAGTCAAGTTCAATGTCTTGTACATAAGAAAAGGCTTAGTAAATGATAACAGCCATTATCTTAAGAATTTGCAATTCTCAAAAAAATGCCAAACTTGGCAATAGAGTGAAATTTGCTCAACTGTAATCAACCTCATTGAAATGCTACTAATTGATTACTAAGAGTTCACCTACCACAGGCTCTTCATGCTCTGGAAAAGAATGTGTGTGTGTGTGTACACAAATGTATGGCACATGTGTGCAGAAGCAGAAGAGGGGGTTGGCTTCCTGGGCTCTTCGTGCTTTGGAGAGAAATGTGTGTGTGTGTGTGTTTGTGTGTGTGTACAAATGTATGACATGTGTGTGCAGAAGCAAAAGAGGGGGTTGGATTCCTGGAGCTGGAGTTACAGGTAGTTATGAGCTGCCTGACATAGGAACTGAATTTGGAACCTCTGGACAATCAATGGATGCTCTTAACCATTGAATAGCTCTTCTTTGTGCTTAATTGGCCAACAAGAAGAAAACCAATAAATTCCTGGCCAAAGAGAATGGTTAACAGAAACATGCCAGGTTTGGAGGCTCCTTTTGCCTCTTAAATTTTGTTTGTTTTTTAGAGATAGAATCTAACTGTATGTAGCTCTGGCTGGTCTTGAACTCAAGAGATCTGCCTGCTTCTGCCTCTTGCATGCTGGGATTAAAGGTATGTGCCACCAAAGCCTCATTGTTTTTATATATTTTCAATAGGAGTATTTCCCACAGATCTTAACATACTGAGGTTTCCTTTCTTAAACCAGCAGGGGGGTGATAGCTCAGTCCTGAGCTGGTCCTTAGAACTCATCCAAAAGGCAAGGTACCATACACCTACATAGCACCTAGGGGGAGGGAAGGAGACAGGCTGATCCGGGGACTTGATGGCCAGCCAGTCTAGCTTAAATGATAAGCCCCTGGTTAAGTGAAAGATCGTGTCTCAAAAACAAACAAAACAAAACAAAAAACGGCAGAGAGCAGAAGACACCCAGAGTTGACGACCTGGCTTTCACAAGTTCACATATAAACACAGTTTTTTAAAAAAAGTTTTATAAAACAAAAAACAAAGCAAATACAACTGCTACAGGATTTCAAGGAGAAATCCTGGCCCTGGGCTCCCATCACCCCAATCACTCAAAGGCATGAGCAGATTTTACAAAGCAGTATCTCTAGGTAGCAGCTCCAGCCTTTTCAGTGATCACTGTTAACTTACTTTATCCCACTGAGGTGCATGATGCTCAAGACAATGGTCGCTTTTATAAAGAAGAGAATAAAGAAATCCACCATCTCTGCCATAAATCTGTGCGCCAAGGATGGAATGACATACTCTCTGCCTGTAGAAAAGGAAAAGGGACAGGGGAGAGGAAAACGAATCACTCACATAGGTTTAAGAATACAAGCCTGAAAATGCAGGGGCAAAGTAAAGTCAAGGTCCAACTGAATTGAAAAAAAAAATTACAGCCTTGAGCAGCCAATGGCAATGATGCCATCAAGAGAACATGTTACTAAATTATCTAATGATGAGCTGCACACGGAGAACCATACCAGGAATCCTAGCACTCTGGACCCGGAGGCAGGAGACCGACTGCAAGATTTGCTACAGTAAGACTGTAGTTATTAAACAGAACCAGTTAGATGATATTTAAGATCAATAAGCTTGAGCCCAGATGAAGCTCATTATTCTATTTGTAATGAGCTCCTTTCAGTTCCACTGTCCTAACGCGCAGCCCAAGTCCAGGTGATGTCCAGTATCCTAGACTAGCTCCTCCAACAACAGTGGGCTTGCCATCTGAGTTTAACTTCGGATCTCTCTTTCCGGAGTATGGAGATCACTCAGAGAACAGTTTGACACGGGAAGGACTAGTGCCAGGTCTAAGGGGAGAACAATTGGCATTGCGTGGCAGGACATTTCTGGAATATAAGGTTGGGGCAAACGATAGCTGATGTGTGTGGAAGTTTCGTACTTCAAAAGCGAACATTTACTTGCCCAATGGTCACTCCTTCAAGAGATCCCTCTGCCAAGGCATGTTCTGTGGGCTGACACAGAACTAGTATTGCGAGTTCGGGGCTAACCTGGCTACACAGTTAGGGTTAGCCTGGACTACAGAGTGAAATCCTTCCACAAGAAAAGCAGTAGGAGTAGCAGTCATTTAAAAAGGGGCCGTGAGCCACCAGTAACCCTAACACGCGGACAGTGGAAGCAGACGGATCAAGAGTTCGAGGTCAACAAGGGCTTCGTGAATCCCGGCCTACCTACATCTCAAAACGAACAGAACCCTCTCCTCCGCCCCTCCTCCATCCCACTCACCCGGCTCACCTCCGTTCTCGCCCGCCTGCCGCCCAGCGTCGCTCGCCGTCCGTGCAGGGGTCGC